AGCTCTGATGGATTTGGGGCTGTTCGTAATCTGATTATCTGGTTTGGTAGTCATATCAGACGTTATAGAGTAGTTGGCTCCGGTGTCACAACAAATATCGATGCCAGTTTCGAAAGCGCTGACAGAAGGAGCAGGAATCACCCCACAAGTTGTCCCGCCTGCTCCACTGTTGCACCGAGTACTCGATGTGAAGAAGAAGTTATCGGGCAAAAGGGAGTTAAGAGGAGTTTTGGGCGATGCACACAGATAATTAGTAGCATCCGCCTCCTGAGCCCGCTGGAATAAATTTCCAATGACATTAGGCTCAGAAGAACTGCGGTGAAGCTTTGGGACAGAACGGTAGACATTGTCTAGGCGATGGTGAATCTAGAAAATAAACGATAAATGGGAAAAGAAATTAGAAATATAAGTGCCTCATTTTAATAAGATGAATTACTTAGGCCCAGTCATCCGATAGGGTCAAAGGCCTATTAGAAAAATATGAATGACAAGCATTAATTTAAAAGAATTGCTTACATTTGTCACTTTTATTATTCGTAACTCTGGGCTAAAGAAGGGGAATCTCACCAACGCTGCCGAATAAACGTCTGAGAATGTGTCGTAAACAGTCTGATGCTGAAAATTATCATCAATAGCGTAGCAAAGGGAGGACTAGGTACGTTCTACAAGGTCTCTCTTCATCTCAATCAAGTGGCGAAAACCAAAATCAAGACAACGGCAGATGGTAAGAGGAGAGTACGACCAGGCCAAAGGCCACACCATCTTGGCGTCCAAATCTACGATAACCCATTCGCTAAATTCCAATTTTTCCATGTGATACTTACCCAGAGTTGGAAATAATTGTAATTCTTGCTTTAAATTTAGCAAAGAGTCTCAAATCAATTTAAAAATACATTTAATATATTGTTGAGGAGACTATCATTTCGTATGAAAGTGGGTAATGAAGAGATTCGTTGATTGGTCTCACCAGAAGACAACGGCTAATTCCCGTTGTTCTGCAATAGTTTGGCTTTAATACGGTGCTTATGCTGACGCAGCCCACGATAGATCCTCCTTAGTCTAGGATAAAATCTGGCTAAATTTTCACCCATAAGATGTTAGACATCATTACAGCTAGAAGTTATTCATGCAAAACTCTCAAGTTAATACTAGGTCAAGAATACGGCCGAGCTATCTCTTATGCCCACTACAGAAAGTGATCTGGGAAAGGCGTGGCCGCCCTTGAAATGCACGTCTGCTATGTGATCAGAGGGCACTCGTAGCGATGTAGAGTATTGGTTAATATATTAAGACTATAGGCTGCACTACCCGGGTTCGAATTCAGTTAGGTGTGAGGTCGAAACTGCAGTCCACCCTGAATGAGAATAACTTTTAGGAAGCAAGGCTATGCGAAACTAAATAAAAATGCTAGGCCTACTCATATCAGTAAAAAAAATACAGCTAACAATATTTCGTCATCTCACACAAAAAGCTGAATATGTCTCATGTGCATAATCTACTAGTAGTCTCAAAAAACAACTCTTAAAACTGAAATAAATAATGGGAGGCCACACTAATATCGCAAGACTCCAGTAAGCCAT